GGGGGGAGAGGGGGGGATTGGTACCACAGAATATACATGTGTAGAAGAAAGAGCTTTACATTATATCCTTTTAAAGGGCCCGCAGCAGGAGGCGACCACACAAGGTCATTACCTGAAGATTACAATCCTCCGGTTCACATTATACATCTTATTCTGCCATTTCCATGGCACCTCCTTCCACTGCTTCAGCCTTCAATCAGGTCGGGTTCAAAGCGTTTGCTGTAGAGGTCACACACGGGGGAAATGGTTTCCGTATGTGTCATTAATGAATCAGTTCCAGGTTGAGGAAAAGTTCCCAAAGATTTATGAAGACATTTTATAACGTCTCCACCAATCCGGAGACACAGAAAATGATCCGGTCCTATATACTGAGCACTGGCTGACCTGGTCCTATATCCTGAGCCGTGGCTGACCTGGTCCTATATACTGAGCCCTGGCTGACCTGGTCCTATATACTGAGCCCTGGCTGACCTGGTCCTATATACTGAGCCCTGGCTGACCTGGTCCTATATACTGAGCACTAGCTGACCTGGTCCTATATACTGAGCCCTGGCTGACCTGGTCCTATATACTGAGCACTGGCTGACCTGGTCCTATATACTGAGCCCTGGCTGACCTGGTCCTATATACTGAGCACTAGCTGACCTGGTCCTATATACTGAGCCCTGGCTGACCTGGTCCTATATACTGAGCCCTGGCTGACCTGATCCTATATACTGAGCCTTGGCTGACCTGGTCCTGTATACTGAGCCCTGGCTGACCTGGTCCTATATACTGAGCACTTGGTGACCTGGTCCTATATACTGAGCACTGGCTGACCTGATACTATATACTGAGCCGTGGCTGACCTGGTCCTATATACTGAGCACTAGCTGACCTCATCCTATATACTGAGCCCTGGCTGACCTGATCCTATATACTGAGCCTTGGCTGACCTGGTCCTGTATACTGAGCCCTGGCTGACCTGATCCTATATACTGAGCCTTGGCTGACCTGGTCCTGTATACTGAGCCCTGGCTGACCTGATCCTATATACTGAGCCTTGGCTGACCTGGTCCTGTATACTGAGCCCTGGCTGACCTGATCCTATATACTGAGCCTTGGCTGACCTGGTCCTGTATACTGAGCCCTGGCTGACCTGATCCTATATACTGAGCCTTGGCTGACCTGGTCCTGTATACTGAGCCCTGGCTGACCTGATCCTATATACTGAGCCTTGGCTGACCTGGTCCTGTATACTGAGCCCTGGCTGACCTGATCCTATATACTGAGCCTTGGCTGACCTGGTCCTGTATACTGAGCCCTGGCTGACCTGATCCTATATACTGAGCCTTGGCTGACCTGGTCCTGTATACTGAGCCCTGGCTGACCTGATCCTATATACTGAGCCTTGGCTGACCTGGTCCTGTATACTGAGCCCTGGCTGACCTGATCCTATATACTGAGCCTTGGCTGACCTGGTCCTGTATACTGAGCCCTGGCTGACCTGATCCTATATACTGAGCCTTGGCTGACCTGGTCCTGTATACTGAGCCCTGGCTGACCTGATCCTATATACTGAGCCTTGGCTGACCTGGTCCTGTATACTGAGCCCTGGCTGACCTGATCCTATATACTGAGCCTTGGCTGACCTGGTCCTGTATACTGAGCCCTGGCTGACCTGATCCTATATACTGAGCCTTGGCTGACCTGGTCCTGTATACTGAGCCCTGGCTGACCTGATCCTATATACTGAGCCTTGGCTGACCTGGTCCTGTATACTGAGCCCTGGCTGACCTGATCCTATATACTGAGCCTTGGCTGACCTGGTCCTGTATACTGAGCCCTGGCTGACCTGATCCTATATACTGAGCCTTGGCTGACCTGGTCCTGTATACTGAGCCCTGGCTGACCTGATCCTATATACTGAGCCTTGGCTGACCTGGTCCTGTATACTGAGCCCTGGCTGACCTGATCCTATATACTGAGCCTTGGCTGACCTGGTCCTGTATACTGAGCCCTGGCTGACCTGATCCTATATACTGAGCCTTGGCTGACCTGGTCCTGTATACTGAGCCCTGGCTGACCTGATCCTATATACTGAGCCTTGGCTGACCTGGTCCTGTATACTGAGCCCTGGCTGACCTGATCCTATATACTGAGCCTTGGCTGACCTGGTCCTGTATACTGAGCCCTGGCTGACCTGATCCTATATACTGAGCCTTGGCTGACCTGGTCCTGTATACTGAGCCCTGGCTGACCTGATCCTATATACTGAGCCTTGGCTGACCTGGTCCTGTATACTGAGCCCTGGCTGACCTGATCCTATATACTGAGCCTTGGCTGACCTGGTCCTGTATACTGAGCCCTGGCTGACCTGATCCTATATACTGAGCCTTGGCTGACCTGGTCCTGTATACTGAGCCCTGGCTGACCTGATCCTATATACTGAGCCTTGGCTGACCTGGTCCTGTATACTGAGCCCTGGCTGACCTGATCCTATATACTGAGCCTTGGCTGACCTGGTCCTGTATACTGAGCCCTGGCTGACCTGATCCTATATACTGAGCCTTGGCTGACCTGGTCCTGTATACTGAGCCCTGGCTGACCTGATCCTATATACTGAGCCTTGGCTGACCTGGTCCTGTATACTGAGCCCTGGCTGACCTGATCCTATATACTGAGCCTTGGCTGACCTGGTCCTGTATACTGAGCCCTGGCTGACCTGATCCTATATACTGAGCCTTGGCTGACCTGGTCCTGTATACTGAGCCCTGGCTGACCTGATCCTATATACTGAGCCTTGGCTGACCTGGTCCTGTATACTGAGCCCTGGCTGACCTGATCCTATATACTGAGCCTTGGCTGACCTGGTCCTGTATACTGAGCCCTGGCTGACCTGATCCTATATACTGAGCCTTGGCTGACCTGGTCCTGTATACTGAGCCCTGGCTGACCTGATCCTATATACTGAGCCTTGGCTGACCTGGTCCTGTATACTGAGCCCTGGCTGA